AAGAACCACTGGACCAGAAAAACTGAAACTTATGTGGAAGCATCCTGGGGTAGTGTAGATTCTAAATTGTTCAAATCATGGCCCTGGGGGGAGGGTGGGGCCACAATAGGTATTACAAGGGGGGAGTCTGGTAATGAACAGCATGGCCAAAGTTACTCAGGTGAGCGATGTGGCCCATGGGCCTCTTGTTCATCGTCAACTCTCCTTATTTATGTAGTAATATTCTGTTATCTCCAGCATATAGTGTTTACGTCTCCCAAGTTATTCGATACTCGTGAGCATGTCCTGAGTACGATCAATTTTTAAACCGAAGCAGGCTACTGAGAGATAAGTTGATGTTACAGGAATTTCAAAAACCTCGTTTAAAGTCAGCATTTCGTAAATTCTATGGTCCTTGTTAACCAATATAACCAATCATTGGGTAGTGTTTTGGCTAACGTGTTTCATACCAATCCTAGCTTAGACCATTGTTTTATTCTTAGGCCATTGTTTTACACTAAATTTGACTACGGAAGATTCTGTAACTGATTAATACTCCTACGCACCTGATCCCACCTCTGAAATTTCCAGGGGTCCTTTTTTAATGACCTTTTCACAAATATGTATTGTTTGTATACATTTTTTTTTAGATCGATCACTGTTCGTTATATTCACCTTTTTCATCTTGTCATACTGCTAAGAAATCACTTTACTAGTATTAGATACAAATTTTCTAAAAATTAACATATATAAAGAAAAGTAGATTGTTCACTGATGCCTGTTAAAGAACGATCAAGGGGATTGTAGTACATTAAAAAAAGATTCGAACAGTTTAAAACATACATGTTTGTAAACCTACTGGAAAATTTTAATCATGTCTTTTATTTAAATATTTGAATCCTTAATGATTACATTTCCAAAATATTCTGCAGAATGCCATCATTCCTTGCGTCAACAAAAAAAAATTACGTTTTGGCGGGAAAAATTTAGACACACTTTATTAATATGCATGAAATAACCTTCGACTGCTTCTGATTTTTCGAGTTAAAAGTGAAGCAGATATATATGCCGGAAATCATAAAGGATTCAAATATTTAAATAAAAGACATGATTAAAATTTTCCAGTAGGTTTACAAACATGTATGTTTTAAACTGTTCGAATTTTTTTTTTTTTAAATGTACTATACTCCCCTTGATCGTTCTTTAACAGCCATCAGAGAACACGACAAATATAATTTACCTGCTTTGCTTTTTTCAGCATTTCAATTATTATCAGAGGAAAAACATTCATCTCAAATTTACCACAGGGTTTCGGTAGAAAAAAAGAAAAGAAAATGAAAGATCTCTGACTCAAGGATTTTATGCCCCTTCCAAACTGACAATTAGGCTGCACCTATTTAAAAATCACCCTTTGGGACCCCCTTTCTCTCTCTCTCTCCCAAAAAGGACAAATTGGAAAATATTTAACAACATATAATGTTCCAGATCAAAGCTTTTGTCGTTATATTTCATTGAATTTCCTTCACAAAGTTTTTTTAAAGAAATGGTCTGAGACATGCACGTTATTTGCATTAATCTGTTCTACTGGCTGGGTTCCGATTCTTAAAGCTTCCATTTCGATAACTTTTGACAAAGAGTATTACATGTCCTAGGTAAAAGCATATCAAAGTACACCAGTACCACAACTGTCAGAATGATAAAAGTACTAGATAGAATTAAGGTTACTACGATAAAACCAGCGCAGAGTAAATAAAACATTGTCTAGAGTGTCAATCTTGGAAGGCCTTTCACACACTGTTTGACAGAATGAATGTTGAATGTATTTTAAAAGCTACTACTACGGTTGGAGAAGGACCGCACTGGGATGACGTCACCAATACACTCCTATATGTAGACATATATGGCAATAGTATCCACAGATACAATCCAGAAACAGGGGTAGATGATAAATTTGAGCTGGGTAAGTAATACGGTCAACAATATGTTCTTTTTTGTTTCCGGTGTGAATCAAGTGTATGGATCATCAATAGAAAAAATTCATGTGTATATTCATTAAGTGCAACAATCTAACCCTATCAACTACACAAAACTGTTTTCATTTCCATATTGTTATCAGAAGATTGTCATTTCAGATGGCCCAGTTGGATTTGTTGTTCCCGCCAAAAAAGGTGGACTGATAGCAGGTGTGGGTCGTTGTCTGGTACATGTAGACTGGGACACAGAAAAGGTGACCAAACTCCATGAGGTGGAACAAGGTTTAGATACACGATTCAATGATGGCAAAAGTGATCCTAAAGGTCGGATAATCGCTGGTGAGTTAGTCAGTTCAGTATGGTATTATTTGGCTGTGTAGATAGGATTTTTACAGTTGTCAACATTATTTTACAAGGAACGATGGGTCCAATGGAGCCTGATGTCATCAATATGCCTAGGATTGGCAACCTTTATTCTTTGGATTTGGATGGGAGTCTCCGCACGTTGGTGAAAGGCGTTGGAATTTCCAATGGCTTAGCGTGGACAGAGGATACGAAGACAATGTATTATATTGACTCCACGCCTCGACAGATATACAGTTTCGACTACGATGTTGTAACTGGAGAACTGTGTATGATTATAAATATTTCTGTATGCTTATTTTCTTGATCACCGAAGCCAATAACTTGATCACCGAAGCCAATAAATGGTTCTCAAATGAATACCCAGGATAAAACTAAACTGAATTATGCTTCGCATAACATATAAGTGAAAGATTTCCCTGTGAAAATTTATCATATCATGGTATTCAACAATACAAGATTCTGAATAAACTGAACATGTTGCAGTATGTCATTTTTCATTTCAGCAAATCAAAAGGTGATTGTGGATACTACTGGGAGGCCTCTTGAGGAGATCGGTGTTCCTGACGGTATGACTATTGATACAGAGGGTAAACTATGGGTAGCATGCTTCTTTGCTGGAAAAGTTGTTCGATATGATCCCCAAACAGGTAATTGATTCATATAAGAACTAGATGTATAGTGTTTAGATGCAAATGTAGACTAAAAAGGATGCAAATAAAGGATAAATTCAAAACCAGTATTTATTTTTTGATACTTTGAAACTTGAATATCGTCTCTCATTTCAGGGTGCGAGATGCAAATTGTAAACATTCCCTCTGCATTTATTACATCTTGCTGTTTTGGCGGGACTAATTTTGATGATCTCTATGTCACGTGTTCAATATACGATGCACCCAAAGAAGAGCTACAGAAATACCCATTATCTGGGTCAGTTTTCCGGGTCACTGGACTCGGGTTCAAGGGTTTAAAGGCAAATGTATATGAAGGGGAATTAAAACTGTAGACACAAAATGCATTTCGCTTTAAGCAGTTTCTGCTACCAAGTTTGTAGAGAACTTGCTTTTGCAAATTTCCTTTGCTAGGACCATAGTATGCAGCGGTCATTCTGTCTGTTCAAAAATAAAATTTATTTTTAGTTATTGTTAAAACACTTGTTCCCACTTAGATCATGGTTTGTGACCAAGTCAGGGATTTTTTTTCCTTTATTAGCTAAGGGCACCTGTTCTGCTTTAATGGTGACAAACATATGTACAAGTCTGAAGAAAATGGGATACCGGTTAAATACATGTACTGTATTTTAATTGGGAACAGAACTTTTTGTGAGTATCAGTAATCTGCATGTATACGTATAAATAGACATTACAAAATGTTTAACATAATCCAGTGTTGTTCACTGAATTGGATTAAAATACGTATACTTTCTTCTTTATATTCTAACTTTAAGAACATCCTTGGAAACCTGAATCTGCACTATGTAAGGATGACTTTATTTCACATTTTTGTTATTAACATTTCTGGAAAAGTTGTTCTAAAGATGGTATTCAACATATGCTGTCGGCAGCACTCATGGTTGACAGTCTCAACTGAAATCCGAGATTAACCCAACTAGAACTGTCCGAAATGGATAAATACCCTCACTGGGTTTTTCAGAAAAAGTACCAAGTCACTAATTGAAGTATTTTATGAACCTAAAGGTGTTCACAATTTGTTAACATTGACAGTTAATATTTAATAGATTATTGTACTTTTTATGACCACAGCCTAATAAAGCATTAAAATAATATCATTTTATTTTTTTTTTATTAGATTGTAAAACTTAATTGCAACCATCTGTCATCTTTGTGAGACATGACAATCTGCAAATTGTTTGCTGAGATATATAAAAAAAAAAAATAAACACATTATGCAACATCAATTTAGTCTTGACAACTTTATACCAAATTAATTTTGAAAATAAAAGGCTGGCCATTGAGTAACCATGTATTTTAATTTGATTGATGCTATCAATCGCAATTAAGAGCGTCAGAGACCATATCTTTAATTTTTCTGCCCAATTCCCAAGAAATATTATACACCTGCTAGATCAGAGATGCTCTAACAGGAATGATTAAGACAGCCTTCCTACATTGGACTCATTAATTTATCTTTAACTAGATGCAAGTCCAACTCATTACTTTCGACATATTTTAATAAGGTCACTACATAACTCTTACATTTGTAGGAACTACTGGTATATAGGAACTTTTTTTAATACTCGGACATTGATTTAAAAGATTTAATGACCAGGTTTTAACCTGCAATTCACATTTCTCTACAGATGTACCGACTGGCAGTGTCTCAAATCTATATGAACCCAAAATGACTAAGTCTATAAAATTAGGGGGAAAAAATTTAAAATGAAGAAAAATTATCCAATCATGATGAAAACACCAGGTGCACATCTCACATGGTGAAAAATGAGTATAAATTTTCTGACAGGCAAATCCATGCAAAGTCTCCAAGAACTTGTCCAGACACAACCATGTCTCTAGACAGACAGACAGACATCCTGATTCCAATATACCCCCATCCCTAAACTTCATTTGCAAGGGGGGGGGGGGTTAAAAAGTTTTTAAAAATAAATATGAATTTGCATTGGCATGATTTTTTATTTCATTTCTATGACAGCTCTTAACACCTTACAAAATAATGTACATTTGAAAGATGGAAAACAAGGAAAATAAAAATGAAACAAAACATAAAAATAAACCAAAATATTTACATTTATATGAAATTGCTAAGCTTTCATTTATTTATTTTTTATCATCTTCATTGCAAAACGATATTACTCTTGACAAAATTATAAAACTTCTACGGTATGTTAAAAGTTGTACTTCCATGCAGTGTGCATTACTTTTCTTTTTGTTTTTGCAACAGCTTTGAAAAAAGTACAACTGTGTCCAATGGTAATACAGTACAATGTATAAAAATAATGTGAAATATCATTCCTGCAATATTAGTCTTGTGTAAATCGTGTCTGATCTCTGAAATACCTCATCCCATTACATTAATACAAAAAAATTACCAAAAAAAAAAAACAACAACAAAATTAATGCTCCAGTCATATCCATGAATGAAAATCAAAGAGAAAAAACAAATAAGGAGAAAATTCAGAAAGTTTGTAACATCAAACAAACAAAAAAACAAAACAAAAAAACCCAGTAAAACAGAGACACTGAAGGAAATAAACAAATGCACATACAAGGAAATGGGTTCTTGATGGTCTGCATGTTGCACAGAAATGTGACGACCATTTAAAACATGGTTTTTATGGAATCAACAGTAAGGATCTTTAAAGATGGTTGACGATACATTAATTTTATCATCAAGTGTCTTGTACTACGACTTTTTCATGCTTGGCTTAAGTTCATCAAAACAGGACCTTAAGAATATGTGTGGCTTTTTGTTTGGGTCAAATCCTTCATGCCCCTGAAAAGAAAAAAAAATTTTGATAATTATAACAATTACTTTAAGTCAACATCATTACCTTCTCCACCTCCAACAAAAACTATGTCAGACTGAACTTCTTTTCAAGAAATGACACTTGTTTGTAGCAATTTTTCTCATTTCATTTTTTGCTGATAACAACTATAATAGTAAATGTGCCAAGATTTTCTTTTCTCACAACAAGTTATATATTCTGCACATTTAAATACTAATAAATCCAACAAATGACACTGAATCTCCAAGAATGCTGTGGATTACTTTGCCTTGATTCATATATTCCTAACAATTATAAACTTCAGAATCATCTTTTAACAGGTTTCCTTTGTTTAAACCAAAACTTTGAAAAAAAAAAAAGAAAAGAATTTCTCTGTTTTTGTTAACCTTACCTTCGACCAATCATAGCTGGTGGCATAGCAGAACACATTTCCTTGTGGGTTGAAACAACAAGCTGTCAGTGGTTGGTCAAACTGATCCGAGGTCTTAAGTTTGGTTCGAGCATCCTTGTCCCAGAAACTGAACTTACAGTCTGATCCGACTGTAGCTAAGGTACCATGAACAGGATGGAATGCAATATCATTTACCTGTCATTAAAGTTGTATGGATATGTGTTATTTTTTTCCTTACCATTCATACAAAATCCTGACCCCCTTATATCTTGTGCTTTCAGACATTCCCAAATTATATTTCTTAAAATAAAAACAAATTTGATTAGAAAAACATAGCAGGAATATTATGCTTTACAACTAGAGTGTTCCAAGGAAAGCATGTTCACCTGCATCATTAATTAAGGACATAAATAAAAATAAGGGGCATGATGGGAGCTCATTCTTTTAATTAGATGTATCATACTAGCTATTTAGTTCAAGCAAAGAAAAGGAAATGTATAAAAGAACATTCCTACATAATATTTATCATAAAAGTTACAATCAATAGGCCGAGTGACGTCCTGATTGCTACATTTAAATTTCAGTTTGTGTTGTTGATATAATTTATACACTTTTTAATAAGATGTGGTTATTAACATATATGTATATATAAATGCAAGTAATCAAAGCCCTACCTCATACATTAACTGTCCAAGGTATTCTTGAAAAATAGGCTAAAGGTCCAGGTCAAAAAGACTGTAATGCTGATATTTTCAATATGTTTTATGACAGGCAGGCACAGGCCTACATGTACCTCTCTAAGGTCGAAAATATATCTACATGTATGTACCTCTCTAAGGTCAAAAATATATCTACATGTATGTTGGCATTAAGGTGTATTTTGGAAAAATAAATCAAAGGTCAAGTTAAAAGCTCTGGTATTTTACAAAAGCCATTCTTCCAAGCAACACATGAACAAAATATTAAATCCCTGCCTTTAACAGTTCTCAAGATATAAGGTTTGACAGACAGACAGACAGACAGATGTTGGGCAAAATGATCCCTTAAGTGTTCTTTCAGTTCTGCTAAAGGGGCCATGATTTGAACTAATTTGGAAGATGAATACATACTGCGTATATGTCTTGCATGCCATTGGTTGTGCCGTTTGACCTGTGACATTTGAAGGTGAAGTTGTCTTTAGGGTTGGTAGGATTGACGTAATGTATGGCTACTCTGCCTTCAATGCTTCCAAGAGCAAACCCAGTAGGAGCACCATTGTTCTTCTTGTCCAGAAATATGCTGACACATCGGTGCTGTAAGATAAAGGATGACCAACTGCACAAGATTTATCAAACACCTTACACATATAATAGGGATGTGTGATTTTAATAGTATACAAGTATATCGTGATTTTTTTTTTTTTTTTTTTACATATTTGATACATATCATAATAAGGAGGCTATAATACCAGTATTTAGTATGTAGTTACAAAATCTGGTATTAATTAATTTTTTTGTTTAAACTTTGGTAATACAATTACCGGAATTGAGAAAAAATGTTTTAAAACAGTAAAACAATGGCACCCTAGCATCCAAACATGCTTTATTAATATATGAATAAAAATGAAAAAAGTGAAGTTATGCTTTCACAATACATGTACATGTATTAATGTTAGAAAACTATGAAAATTCATTTAAGGACATACGCAACGTACCTTACCTACTGATAATTTTTCAAGATATTCTTAATTTAAGATTATAGTGCCATCATATGTTCGTAGACAAAAAATCAGCATGCATTACCAGGGGTTTTGAAAAGATATCAATTGATGAAAATTCTTGTATAATTCAAAGAAAAATATACAAAAATTACTAAACATATATTCTAGATATTTTGTTTATCCAAACTTGTTTTAGAAGAAGTGTACAACAGCTTCTATAAACATTAAAATGTAACACACAGTTCCTTTAAGTATCGGAACTCTTCAACTCAGGGGAAAAATACAATAAAGTTCAAACTACATTGCGTATGTCCTTAAAAATCAAAGTAAACTTTGTGTGTAAAAAAATATCATGATATTATTATGATATTTTGGGGGAAAATCATGTTATATCAAGATACAATTTTTTTAGCTATACCCATCTTTACCTTATACAACCTATTATACTTAAACTATTCTTTTTGTCCCAGTTCATCAACAGTCATGGACAGTGTAAAAAATAATTGTTTCAAATTTGAAATTCTGTTCTAGAATACATTTATGAGGTACTATAATCCTTCAAAATAATCCTCACCTGAAATTTGAGTGGTGACTCAATGCGTGTGAACTCCTGTGGCCGATTCTCCAGCTGGTATATAATTAACTCTCTTCCAGCAGTTCCAACAACAGCCATAGGGTATTTCTAATCAAAACAAAACTAGAGCTGATTTGACTTAATTCCCATGAGTCAAAAATAGGCTTACTCGATATGCCATGTATGCTAACTTGTTCTCTTTTAACCTTGACAATTTCTGCACAATATATGCTTACATAAACTATGAACATTTATATCAATTTCCTTCAAACTCTGCTATAAGAGTGATACAATTCTCTATATCTTAGAAACAACAAAAGGATTTCTATTCTAGTCCACACTTACAACATCTGCACAGTAACAGCGCTCTGGGAGCTGAATTGTGTCGATGGGATTTGGCGTTCTTGTGTCCCAAAACTACAAACAACAATACACATGTCCTCAAAGGATACACATGTATATTTTTAATAATACATCAGAGAAAATTCCCAACTAAAAATCCCCTTTACAATATCACATCTTTTTCTTAGTTTTTAAAAGGATGCTAAAAAGTGAAATGTTTTTTCTTTAATTTCTCAACTGAGTGATGCAATTCACTGACCTTGAGGGTTTTGTCCCAGCTACCAGTCATGACACATGAGTAGTTGGGTGCCTTGATCCAGTGGACAGTTTTCACTGGGGCATCATGCTACATAGAGAATTTCAAGTTCAAAGCAAATTTTCAAGTTTACAGTATAAAGAATGTTCATTTCTCTGGGAGAGTTTATAGTTAAGCTTCTGCTCATTTGAAAGTTACATGTGGCATTTTACATACTACTGTAAGATTGTTACAGTAAATCTGTAATGCTGTAAATCCTAATGACATATAGATTTCTAGAATATTAATTATCTTTATATTTGAGATCAGTTATATGTATGTAATACATGAGGACATTATACTTGTGCAATCTGGATGGCTTGATTACTCTGAAGGTCCCACATTTTAGCGGTTTTGTCACAAGATGCTGTGAACACCTTTGTTCCATCCTAAAATGACAAAAGATTGGCACATTTCAATAAATATTCAGAGTAAAACAAATTTGTACATGCTTTGATAATATTAGACAACATGGGCAGTTATTGTCTTATGAAATTTGAAAGACACATCTCCAACAACAATGATCTAAAAAAAATAATCAAAAGCCTGAAAGGCTTCAATGACGTCGAAGAAGAAAAACAATTTCAAAAGATCATTTTGAATTTGAAGATAGCAATAAGTCAAGTGAGTGACTCAGGAGAAATAATAAAAAAAATGGTTTTAAACAAAATATCACAATTACAGTCCGGGGCCTTATGTCATGGTCCAAATGGAGCAGGGTTCGAATTGACCAGACACCGTCGAACATGTTTATGCCAAATTCTTTTCAGTCAGTTGAAGAACTATGAAGGATTTCATGAATTTATATAATATTTTTTCTAATTGCCAATGTCAAAGCGTTGTATTAGTGATTGCATCTAAACTACAACCAAGACTGTTCTGTTACAGTTACGATCGAGTTACGATCGGGCGTGGTATACGGTATACTGGGAAATGGAGGAAATAGAGAAATACAGTAATACTGGTCAATATCATCGGTTTTTAGGATAGAGTTGGTTAGAAGATTGTATAAGTAAAGCTAAGATTTAGAAATTCAATCTTTTTAGTCTTGTAGTATTCGTGTTTATGTAATTTTGTAATTATTTTACCTCCTGTTGTGTTGTTTATGTTACACGGTTATCGTTCCGAAATGTTATTCATGTCATTCAACGCACCCTTTCTGTAGAAATTCATCCGCAACAACCATCACGTTTTTCTTGTGTGAGAATAAAACATAATATTGTTGTTTTGCAATAGAATTAATTGCAGATATAATTGATGCAATTTTATTTTCAAGCTATTATTCATTTTGAGCGTTTTCAAAGAAATTGGTTTATAGCTATTGCTATTTTCTATTGCGGATGCATCGACTGACACATTCGGTCGCGTACATATCCGGTCGTGATTTCAACTGGGCGCTTGCTAGATGACGTTCGAGCTCCAAGAGCTCGACGTCATAAAAATCCAGTTAAACATACAAAAAATAAAAGTCCTTCTTCTATTACAGGTGATGTGTGCATTTAGAACTAGGAGTCTATCCTTTCATTCTGGGTATTCATATTTAACTGTGATGGGAGGGGGACTTACATCACTCCAGTCTACATCTAGGACTGGTCCAGTATGTGTTTGCTGGGCTTTAGGCACTGTTTGTCCACTCTGTTGAACCTCCCAACATCTTACCTAAAGAAAACGAGCAAATCTATTTTAAAATGTGTAATGATTCCATTTTTTGTTTTTGTTTTTATTTTTATTTAAACATGTATCTCTCTTGGTATTTACATTTCTGAGAAATCATTGACAGAACAGTAGTACAGACCCTGAAACGTGCTACTACCCCAAAAAAGCGTGTAACTTTCGTGCGCTTTTCGTTTCGTGCAAACCGTGTAGCGTTTCGTGTAAACCGTGCAGCGTTTCGTGCAAATCGTGTAGCGTTTCGTGTAAACCGTGCAGCGTTTCGTGTAAGCTCCAAAGCGTTTTGTGCAAACCGTGTAGCGAGCGTGCGAGAAGCGTGTGAGAAACGTGCGACTTTCGTGTAAGAACCGTGTGAGAAACGTGCGACTTTCGTGCAAGAATCGTGTGAGAAACGTGTAGGATTCATTCGGAATTCATTTCATTTTAAATATGGCTATCGATGGGTCAGGATGTCAAATAGTGTTGTTTATAGCTAATATTATTCGGAGATATTATACTGGATGTATTTTAAGAGTGAAATTTAAAAAAAAAAGTATGAGAGCAACAAAATAAAATTACACGGTAATGTATATTTAATTTGTTTTTCTTTATTTTTTCTCTCAAAAATAAAGATGGACAGGAAATTTATTCAAATTAATTACATGTAATTACAGTGTTTGTGCAACATTTTTAATGAATTGATTTTAATGTACAATCGGAGTGATCATATCTTTTTTATTTTATTTTCCAAAGAAAGCAACAAACGAAATTTCAAACGAAATTTTATCAGGACTCCGCTCTTGTCTATTTATTACCAGATTGTATTAAGTAATTTTAATTAAAACTGTGTGACATTAATAGTTTTCTAACACATAGCATTGGTTCTTTAATAATTGAAAAATTTTAGTATAATTCACATGCATTTACGAACGCAGGATTAGAAATTACCGAGAGGGGGGGGGGGGCGCATTCCAAAAACGCAAGCTTTAAATTTCAATATTTGTGGGTACCGGGTGTTAAAAAGCATAATTGAATTTGTTTTGTATAAAGAAATAAATACTTAATTTATATGGTGCATTGGATGCACCACTTAAAATACATTGGAATATTTAAATCATCAACTTCCCATTTGCAATGTGCGAATGTGATCAAGGTCATTTACGACAGCAACCACGGGCTCCACGAGCAGGGAATTGAAATCTTGTTCTGCTTTTATCTTTTATCAATCATGTCTAAAATACACCCGAGAATAACGATTGAGTTTAAATTTGTGATATTAAATGTTTATTTTTTTTTATTTAATTGGTACACATAATACCCGTGGATTTTATTTTTAATCGACCCGAATTTCCGTGATCATTGGACTGTTCGGCAGTCACAATATAAAAGAGTTTAGAAATAAATTAAAAATAACAATTACATATCAGTTGTTTTATAAATCAGACAGCTTTAATTTGTATTTTTTAAAATATTGGAGTTTTCATGTAATGTACTTGGACATGTATACATGAATATTGCATGGTAAGTTGTGCCGTGACTTTTTGTAAATTACATAAAATTTCCCCTCTACCGAGTTTAATAATGAAGGAATTTACAAGGTGATGGGTACATGTATATTGTTGTCATTTTAGGTACATGTAGAGTGAGCTAATTATCCTTTATACCCCCTCCCCGCAGGTTTTTCTTCCATTCTTCCATATAGAATTCTAATGTTAAATTAAACTCTATGATAAAACGTTTAAATGTTAAAACTACCATTTGGTATAAACTGTTTTATTTTATTAAATCTCGCTGGAGACATGAATATTCTTAAGCACAGTTACTTGTTTTTTTAATATTTTTTTCCCGATAATATAATTACTGAAACGACTGCCGGTGGTATTTAGTCATGTCAGATTTACAGATACACAAGTAAGATCTCGGTAATCCCCCCTCCTCGCTCCCGACCAAAAGAGAGTAAGAAAGAAAATGCATAATCATCCTCTTTTCTGCAATGTACTTATTAATTTTGCATATTAAAGAGGTGGACCTGAATTAATTAAATAAAATAAACTTACTGCTAAATCATAAGAAAATCGATCCGTTCACGGAAATAAACACAGTACAATATTTATTAAAATTAATTACTAAATTTCGCTAATAAACGAGTTTTAAATATAATACTTAAAAAAAATTAATGCCGAAAGAAATTATGAGGGGCAAATATAAATCTTTCTCTTGCAGTGTAAAATTTAGAGAAAAAAGGATGTACACTGACGATGATGGCATATCACCTTAAAACAAGCGGATTACAAACGGAAAGAAAATCATGAATTATTAACTACTAAACTTTGAATATTTCTATCAGTTTATAAACATGTAGTACAGGAGTAGCGAGTTTTAATTTAAAACGTACTGTGAAAGATTGCGACTCTTAATTAATCTATATTTAACCCGTAAAAAAATAATACCCGAGAGATTCCGAATAGAAAATCCAGATCGAGACCAAAGCGTGCGAGAATCGTGTACAAAGCGTGTGAGAAACGTGTACAAAGCGTTTCGTGCAGCCTTTCGTGTAAACCGTGCAGCCTTTCGTGCAAAGCGTTTCGTGTAAATCGTGTAGCGTTTCGTGTAAACCGTGCAGCGTTTCGTGTAAGCTCCAAAGCGTTTCGTGCAAACCGTGTAGCGAGCGTGTACCGTTCGTGCAGCGTGCGTGTGGGGTAGTAACACGTTTCAGGGTCTGTACATGTAATGCATTATCTAAAAGCTATATAAGATAATACATCCAAATATTCCAGGAATCTAGAATTCAGGGGTAAATTAAAACAAGTCAGAGCTATTGTGATGGAAAATATTTCAGGCTTAAAAAATGTTGCTGATACTAAGAGTTGAAAACTGAAATGGAAACATATTTAACTTGCATTGTTATCCCAGCTTCCTGCGACTAGGTAGGCTGACTGCATATTTGTACCCGGACTAAACTTCACCGCGCTCACACTATCATCAGGTGGAGATTGTACCTGTATTCATGTATCATATTTATAATTATTGCACAAAATTCTTTCAGTATCTGTCAATAAAGCTAATAACTATTTAAGTAGGCCATTATGAATAACATACACAATTACATGTTATTTTATCAAACACTATATAGCAAGTTTTAATTAAGTTCACATAATTTTCATTCCATCAATCCTGTTGCAAAAAATAATTTCATCCATTCACCTCAGTCAGTATTGTTGTTTTGTTTGAAATAAATTCTCAGACATGTGTCATCTGACATACCTCTATGTCCTTCATGGCATTATAATTGGTGCTGGCAGTAGAGCCAAACGATGTGTTTCCTCCCCCAAACATGTTTCTCTCTGACTCGGGTATCTACCTGTAACCCAGAAATTATCACTATAATTATACATGCAGCGCACAAATACAAAACATGCATTTTTCATTCTTGAAAACATATGGGTAACTAGCTTATTTTTAAAAAAAAAAAAAAAAAAAGAACTGTCCAAAAACGGACAAATACTCCCAGCTGGGTTTTTCAGAAAAGTACCCAAGTTACTAAAAGAATTTTATGGATCTAGAAGTGTTCACAATGTGTTAACATTGACAGTTTAAATTTCACAAGTCATTGTACTTTTTATGAATGATGAACTAAGCCACAGCCTAATAAAACAACAAAATACTAACAATTTAAAAAAAAATATTAAAACAAAGTAATGGAGAAGCAAAATGCTACTAAAGAATGAAATATTTATTGGTCAGCAAACTCTTCTCAGTTTAGGAGTTAAAACATAAGAATGAAACCGATGAAACTGAAAGTAAAGAGTCAGAAAGATATGGAATTAATCACATGGAAAGAGATGCTAAGATTTCAGACTACAGAGTGCATGGTTTAGCATTAACCCATGGCTTGGGTTTGTTTTCTAAGCTATAGATCACACAAGAAAATCCAGTGTCTGATTTTCCATGGAAGGTATTCACTTTTCACATTTAAAATAGGTAGAATTAGCAGCATATTAATAACAAATCAGAAGTAACAGTTTCAAAAAAATTATTTGTAATTATACTGTGGGGGTCAGACAGGTTCAATCACCGGTGGCCAGATTGCTCAGTAGGTAGAGCACCTGACTAGAGCTTCAGGGGGCCCAGTTTCGAATCTTAATGGTCTAGCTAGTCAGTTGCATTTTTTCCCTCACTGGTTACAATGCTAAGTAGCAGGAACAACATCCAGTGATTTTAAAAATAGAATTTTAAATTTATTATAATTTGAATTGGGAAAAATTAAACATATTTAACATTACTCTAATTTGGGGAAATTGACCAGGGTTCACTGGAAAATGGCATGTATAACTATTTTCTGTAATTTCTCGGTGTTTGAAACAATGACTCCATTATTTGACAGAAAATTGCACTTTTAAAAATAAAAAATCTTACACATTTGTCTGAATATTTAGGTCATAATTATATGTCATACAGCTGTGAATATAGCATTTTAAAATAATTTCAGATAAATCCAAATATCATTCTAATCTAAGTTACTAAAACAACTCCATCATTTAGTTTGTATAAATAATTTTGAAAAAAATATATTCTTTTGACAAAAAAAAAAAAAAAAAAAAAAACAAATCAGTCATAAGGTAAAGAATTACAACATTACCAATACTTTGTAAATTTGATCTCCAATCCTAATTCTTTCTTTTCCATTTGGAAAGAATAATTAGTATCACTTTTTCGTCTCCATACAATTTAATGACTTAAATGCTAATGTCGTGTGTAACAATCCTCAGATTGTATTAGAAAGTATATTGCGTTGTACTGACTGTAAGGGCAACAATTTTAGTTATGGGGAATTCCAGTATCATGAAATATTTTGTCCATAGTCATTTCTGTCAAAAGAATTTATTTGTGAAATATCATATGCACATAATAAGTCAAATTTAACATGATAAATCTGTCTTTACCTAACCTCATAAAGAGTAACGCAATGCCTCAAAATGAAAGAAAATTCGGAAACTTAGACTAAGGTACCACTTCACACTTGCTTTCCCACCATTACAAAATAATCGTTGTCTGTCAAACGTTTGTAATTCTAATATCTGAACCTTGTACAGGAAAGTAAGAAACGGGAAAAATGTAGGCCTGTAAATACTTCTCTTTATCAGGAGCTATTTCTTTGTGTTGATTGAAAAAATAAATTAAAAAAATCTAGAATAAAATCTTAAATCTTTCATATTAACAGTTTTACTGCGTATATTGATTTTTTAAAGAGAACGAAAACGAGGCTAACGCCATATTGTTCTATGGTAAAAAAGGTGTTGACATTTCATAGAGGAAGTGCGACAAATATTTTTTCTTCAGCAGAGTTCGACATTTCGCAGTTGAATCCTGCGTGGTAAGATAACTTTTTATCAATGTATAGCCTTATGAATACTACAATCATTTGATTTGTCTAAATTTTTCGGACATTTGATAATGAATTTTGAAGGATAGGCCTGGCTTTTATTTTTATCACTAATGTCCAATAAAACTTGTATGCGAAAGGGCATCATTTTCATTTTAACCTATATGATATTTATTTTAATTTAAATTTTAATTGTTTCTTTGTTGTCATAGTAACCGGTTATGTAATTAAAAAAATGTATGAACTGGGCGTAGGCGTCCTGAATCTAAGTGCAGTATTTTTAATGTACAGTACTGTAGTTAATCTTCATGCACAGTTTACACCCTATTACAGAAAGCAGTTCAAAGCAAGAAAAACATGCATCAAAAAGTACTGTTGCTTTTGCCTTTTTTCATAGATTTCCATTTCCATCATTGTAATCATGAAGTTTCATGGTAATCTATATGTAAATATGATTAAATCTGACGTTTTCCTGGCTTTTTTCATGATTTTCGACATGAAACACAAAACTGACATGATTATGAAGACTGAAAATTCATGCCTCCAGTTAGAGATGACATTCTCGGGTCAAGTTTTGATATACTCACTAATATCCCTTTTATGGTTCATTCATATTTAATCATAAAATAAACTGTGTGATGAAAACATTTTTTTTCAAATTGTCAAGGTTATTGTTTCAATTTTGTGTATTTTAAAATCTTGCAAGAGTAGAATGATGTTTTCTTTCAAGAAATATTATAGTACTCTAAGCATTGTGCGATTGAAAAGTTGTGATTTTGACAGTTAATTTGGTTTCATATTATCCAAAATTTGATTCTGGTTGGGGGCTTGGCTGCAGACCAAGGGCAACATTTTCACCTTCAGGTCCAACAAATCGTATGTTGCCCGAATCCCAGTCTATAACTCTTTTGTTATACCCTTTACTTAAACAGATTTAATCAATATATAAATGATTATAACTTTATGAGCAATACTTTGGCTTTATCAATAAAAATAATATCTTCGCTAGCCAAGGGTTTCTGATACGCTACTCTCCTCATAAGCCCTTGGCATACGGTGTTAAAAAAAGTTGGGATTTTTTTCTCAAGTTGTGATTGGAGTTGATCGACATCATTCGACCAATCAGCAATGGTTTTTTGTAAATGACGATATTTGCGTTCAGGATATATCTTGACTCTTTCATATTGGGATTGAAAACGCAAGGAAAAAACGATCTGAAGGATAACATGCCATTCTATGAATAGCTATAGGGTGTCATCCAATATCTTAAGTTACGTGCAAAATATGTGATTAAGAATCTATACTGAAGATGTAAATTTGCATTTTAACATGTTTAAGTAACAAATTAACATACTAGTAACTCAATACCTTCTTGTTAATTATTCTTTAAAAACATTAATTTTTTAAATACGCTTTTTATTTCTGTCGATGACGCAATCTGTGCGTACCTGGTAAGAATTGTGATCACGTGACGAAAACAATCCTGTCTTTTGTCAGCACCGTATGCCAAGGGTTTATGAGGAGAGTAGCGCATCAGAAACCCTTGGCTAGCGAAGATGTAAAATTAAGAAATAACAAAGAATGAAAAAAAAATCATAAATTTATTAAATCACAAAATTTATTTATCACAAAAAAAAATTTTCCCTTGTCGCCATCCTTCCTACTAGCATATGACAACTCTTTCAACTTTTAAATTCGGCTCTTTCTGTGTCACCGATATTGAACGACAACTGATTACTTGTGACGTAGCAGTGATGTTGTGGTGTAACAATTCTTATGTTGCACTAACAGACCGGTCAACAATGAAATTGTAAGAACGATGCAAAAAACATTTAATTTGTTGGACTTTTAATAATTGGAAATAAATATATAAAGAGATATTTATAAGGGTCTAACAATGAGGTATAGTTCCACTTAACTGTGTTTTAGTTACAATGGAATTTAAGATTTGCTTTTTCTTTAGTGTCTTTTATATATATCAAGAATAAAGATGCATAAAAGATAGATAATTGGAGGAAAATATACAAGACCCTATAAAAAAAATTCAAATATTCTTTGAAAAGACAATATTTTAAAATAAAAAAAGTGTGGCACCAGGTGGATTCGAACCACTGCTGTAAAAAAGTATAGATCTGCGATGTTAAAACTCGACAGCTGTTATACTAATTGAGCTATTCTGGTTTTGTAAGTAGTTGGTATAAATGTGAATCAGGTTTTCAAAAAAAGTCCCTTATTTCTTGTAGTTTTTTTTTTCATGAATTTCGACCCCAGGGCAGGGATGCCCTTAAAAAAATTCCTATCTTAAATTATTCCTAACATCACTACCTATCAAAATATCATTATGATAATATTATTTAGGGGCAGGCTGGCACTGAAAGACTTCTGGGCCAAAATTCATGCAAAAATCAGTGCTTTACTGAACAAAAAACAGAAGTTGTATATAATAAATTTTTGGTTCAAAATACAGATTAGAAAAATTAAGAATTATGTACGATAGAAAACAACTAATGTTCGTTGACTTTTAAATGTGACTTTTTCCGGGAAAGTGTTCTCTCCTATAGGTAAAATCTTTTAAAATTCCGAATACATGTACATCCTTTTATGTCATATTTCATATATAATTGAAGTCGAAATACATCTAAATAATATAAATGTTTCAAAAAGTGTTGCGAAGCTATTTTTTATGAGATTTTTTTAAATGGCACAAATATATATATATGAATTATATATGAACACTATTCCAGCATATGAATTGAACATAGAGTTGCTATGATAAGTGATATCATTAAAATGTATTTCCTGTATTTGAATGGGGGAAAAAATTAAAGAGACATTAGCAGTATGTGTCAACATAAACATGTTGCCTCCTTTTCCTGAATATAGCACAAATTTTATCTTTTAAAAAAAATTATGTGGTTGCTTAGGAGATAATGTATATTTTGTCATAAATTGGCATGCTTGGTCAAAAAGTTTACAAAACAATTTGCATTTTGATCATTTTAGGTCCTTCCCAGGAAGAACCAGTTGAGGAATACCTTTACAGTTTCTGAAATCCGAGGTAAGGATAAGTGGTGTATTAATGTTGTATTCTTTTGTTATTCCTGCATTTTGAGTTAGTCTGGGAGTGGAATGTTCACCATATGTCAGTATCATATTTTATACCTTTAATATTAATACATGTAATTTAATCTCAAGTGTATAAAAATTCTTGGAACAGGATTGACATAGAAATATTCTGAGTTTGTTTTGAAAATGGCTGGAACTATTTTATTGAATACATATTGAAGATATAATTATGATTTTGCAGGCAAAGGTGTTAAGGGGCCCCGACCCTCTGCTATAAATTTCACTAAGAAAATTTAAAATTTCTAATATTGATTTTCATGAACAACAATAACATTAGAGCTACATGGAAAATAGTTTGAAGTATGAAGCGCTGCTTATTTTTTCAGAAATGATTTTTATGTCATATCATGATATGAAGAAATTTCAACACAGAGAACAGAAAGAGTAACGATTATTATCACAACATAAAATTTAAAATATGAGGTGTATATGAAAATAATACTTAGTATCATACCTATTAAAATCATGTTAGAAAACTTCATAAAGCGGTGCTCCCTAAGTCAGAATATCACAATGTTGTATGTGGTTGTAAGAAAAAAATACATCTGGGAGGAGGAGTTATCTTTCTTCTAAATATTTCTTCATTTGAAAAAAAATGTAATGCTAATAAAAATTCTGTATTTGGTACTTGAAACATTAAACCATTTTTAAAATGGTCCTTAAAAAGATACAACTTATTCAATTTATAAGGCTTTTGAAATTGGATTTAAATATTTTTCTGTTAAATATAATAAAACAATTTGGAAAAAATTCGCAAAAGAAATAGATAGTAATGTTTCCATCATATGTTAAATTTCATCGAATTGACTACTTAGAGGTCTCAATTAGGAAACTCTGATAAAGAAAACTATGAGTAGTATTCATATTTTGTACTTTGAAAGTTATCTCTCTTATCAGAGGGTCGGTACCCCTTAAATTTTAATCTAATTTGACCTATTTAAAAATATTTTATAACATACTGAGATATCTTACACATTTACTGTTTGATTAAAAAATAAAATATTGAGAGACACACACATTTATTGTTTGATTAAAAAATAAATTATTGAAAGACACACACACACAAATGAAGAGCTACATTTTCTTAACACCTTTGAACAGCTTTCTTTAAATTTAATATGGTGTAAAGGATACAGGAAAAGGAGTACATGTATTGTTTACTAGTAGCTGTATGAGTGTATATTGTGTAGTATCATTTTGTTGCTTTTATTTTGATTTCATATTATTTTTTACTTTGAGACCTGACATACTGTTAGAAATTTATAAAAAAGAACAAAAATAAACAAAACAATAAACAAAGGAGGAAGAAACCCCAAAAATATGAATAAATTAAGGAAAACAATTAGAACTTTAAAAAAAAAGTAGTCATATTTTTCCATTTAGAATTTACATAACATCATGGAAAATCTTTTAAGTTCTTAAAAAATTACCAGGTATACATGTCCTAGTACATTTGAACTTTATCAGTGATGTAAATATTATTTCCTTATTTCTTGCTGTTGCACAATATAGTAGTCGCTGC